AGCTACTTTCTCCGTGAGGTTCTTGAGAATATCGTGCACAGTCACACTCTCCACAACACTCAGTCTTTTTTTGGATGATGCACCTTTTACACCTGTAGGTTCCTCGTGTGACAACAAAATGACGACGGCAGCTTTAGTAATCAACGAGAAAATAGTTGCACACGTCACGGACCAACGTTGTTGCAGAGAACAGGATAACCGGGCGAAAAGCTTCTGACATCAGTAAATCGGTTCCATACACTAAGTACCCTGCTAGTAACACTTATTCAGGTTAGCGCAGCATTCTGATCTTAAATAAGCGTGCACTCTTACTTCCATTGTTGATGTTTTGACAAAACCTTAAAGGATGGAATTAATTTGACAGGGAATGAATGCATAAAAAGAAACCTCGCTGTAGACAGTGCTTCCTGGTACAAATGAAATTTAAGACGGACAGTTCGTGCGGTGACGAGGGAAAATGGTTATCTTCTCAAAGCGGCTAGGTTACCTCCTGTCGGGGTCATAAGGAAGTAAACTATCAAAGACTGGAGTCTATTCAAATTAAATCAAAACAAAAACCAAAAGTGGATTTGATCATCTTGAATCTATTTAGAATTGCTAGGTAACAGGTGATTCGGGATAAAGCTAGCTGCAATAGTTTTTTCGTCGAGCTCAGTTCAGCTTTTACAAAAATCACTGAATGTGATGACGTGATGCCACTCTCAGTAAAGCTGAAAATATTTGTAGGGCACTGGGCGTCGTGAATAGAATTTAATGAATCTAGTGAATAGAATCCAGCAACTGGTCTGGGTATCACGCAAAAATCTCATTCCTTCTGACCTGCGAATACTCTAAAAGTCTTGCTAATCACGTGATTTATTATTAGATCATTTTTGTATTCAAGTGTCATTGTTAGGGTTATATCAGCTGTGCCTTTCGACGTGTAAAAATAACCCAATTACATATGACTGAAAATTAGCAGTAAAATTTGAGGGAAACTCAGCCCAAATAGGATTGCGATCAGTAGCTTATTGAGAGTTTATACGTAGTGGGCGGTGGTAGCCGGGTGGTAAAAGCCACTGCATGAACGCCCCGGTGAGCGTGTATTCGAATCCCACGAAAACCGCCGCCGCTTACTCTCTACCATCCTGTTATATGCTAGCCCTCTAATTGGTCGTATTCTGCTTCCGAAAGCTGTATCGTAGTGTAATCAATAAGAATGAAGTAAAAATGGAAAGAAAAAAGAAAGAACCCCATCGCGCAAAGACCAGTGATCGCATTCATTCTTGAGTGTAGTCATTGGATTGTCCATTCGCCTTGAAGTGAACGGCTTTGTTACAAAACCGAACTAGGTCAACAACCACCAGGTTCGTTTATATTCATGAAGGGCCTAGGACACATTGTTATCGGGAGCCAGGGGAGAAGCAGCCAGACCCCAGCTTCAATTCCAACTCCGTCATTAACTCAAAAGCACATTTGCTTGTTTACGTGGAAGTTAGATTATTCCGACTGATAGTCTCGGACCAATAGGCGACCTATTACGGCCGAAGAAACAACCACCAGGTAAGAGTAAATGTAGGATTTAAATGAAGTTTTAACTGAAATCGAAGTATCGAGGCACGACCTACAAGAACTCCGAGTGAGACCGGGATGTCAATTTCTATTAGATACAAAAAACTATTTCAAGAACCTTGTGTGAAGGTCACCGAAGAGCATTGGACAGCCGTTGGTCCTCACTAGGACTCATCAGTAGTGTGTACTACCTTTACATCCTTAGAGGGAATCGAGGAACAATAAACAGATATTGTTTCTGTGATTTCGCGTGGACTGGAACGAAT